CGATTTGTCAGGTCACGTTAGCTTCCAGCAGACTGCGAGTCAAGAGGGAGACGCAGGGAAAGATCCTTTGCCCTTAACCTCATTGGGTCCTGTATTTAAACCCTGACCGGCTTGGCCCAGGCGCAACGCATTATCCGCCGGTCGGCTTTAACGCCGCTCTTGTCACAGACGTTTCGCCCGGGACACACGTGCGGCGCTCGCTCGATGAACGCCCCGGCGACGCAGCACGGCACAGATCTATCTAGCGAAGGCAGCCAAGCACATCAGGTGCCCTTTCATTGTCGACAAGGAGAGCAAGAGGGAGAGAGGGAATGCAAATGAAGTCTAAAAGTCATTGAAGAGCTCGCGTCCCTGCAGGGCTCTCGATGCCCTTTCACTGGCTGTCAAAATGCTCATATTAGCTCTGGTTTGACGGGTTTCTTCAGATTAGTTGGTTTAACTTCTGTTTTCCGGCCAGTGCAAGTGGATCGCTTGTTTATTTCCGGATAGGTCAGTGGACTGAACTGTGCTCCGGAGACAAAGAGCTATTAAACCCAGAGATATAAAGTGTGCGGTCTGATTCGATTCGTTCTTTACTTAGCCAACAAAAAGTCATGCTTCATGTATTTGTGTAGTGGCAAAATTTGATATGAATTGAATATTGGCGACAAGTTTTGAACTTGTGCATGTGAGAGTTTGGGCTGGACACTAATTGAATGTTGCTCATATGGTAATACTGAAACCAACTCATCTCTTGACTCACTGTTGCAGCCACGAAACTGACTTTTATTATAAGTTTGAATTCTGCAGTAGTTTGTCACATCAATTTTGTGGATGTTGTTAAGACCCATAATAGAGACAGAAGCTTCAGACAGTTAGACTGAAAGAGACCAAGGCTGACTTTGCTGCAATGTGATTTCCTCTTATTCCTCCCTCCCCTCCTCTCTTTCTTTCTTTCTCCCTTTTCTTTCCTTTCTTTCTCTCTATCTCCGTCCACCCCTCCCTCCTTCCCCTCCGGTTCCCTGGATGCTGAGCAAACACAATGTTCTCTCTGCAAGATCACAAGACTTATCAAGACAAACAAACAAACAACAGCACTAAGACAACTGCAAATGAAGGCCAATCTTTATACAATCAATAAAAGGAGAAGCTCCTTTAATCTCCCTCTGCGTCCTGCACACTGCAGCCCTCCTCCCTTTTTTTTTTTCTCTCTCTACCTCCATCCTCTTGCCTATCCTCCTCCTCCTCCTCCACCCACCCACTCCTCCCACCCTCCCTCCCTCCCTCCCTCGTGCTCCCTATCTCAGTCCTTGCTGTGTTGCTGGGCTGGGCTCAAAGGCAAGGAAAACTGACTGACGCATCGATTATTCATAGATCACCCCTTCTTTCTCCCTCACTCTCTCTCTCCCCGTCTGTTTTTCTCCGGCTTCCTCTGCAGTGCCCGGTGTATTTACAGGGCCTGTGTCAAAGTCTTTGGAGAGGAGAGTTTGCGAAAAAAAAAAAAAAGGGATGAATGCGTGATTTTCGTTGTGATTGGCAGGCAGGGCAGCGGTAAAAAAGAAAGACGAGGAAAACGGAGGCAGGCGTTTCCTTCCTCCGTGTGCCCTTGACCTGTCTTCTGTTTGATATCTTCCACTTCTAAGAAAAGCTCTGCTTCCTCATCTGTCTTTTCTGTGTCACGCATGAGCTTGGCTTCCCTCTCTCTCTCTCTCTCTCTCTCTCTCTCTCTCATTCATTCCCTATGTCTCTTAGTCACCTCTCTCTGGGTCCTCCAAGGTTATTGTGCTCACGTCAAACCCGAGTCTCTGCAGCCAGGCTCTGGGCCAGCCTCGGTGTGTGTGTGTGTGTGTGTGTGTATAGTCTGTCCTTCGTAGCCAGCCCTAATAATAGCCCTACTGTCATAAACATAGTCTGGAGATCCCTGCGGCCAGCTGTGTCCGGCCCAGCCGCCCAGGGCTCCGGTAGTGACGCTGATGAATGGCTGCACACACACACTCGCAAGTTTGGTGGAGCTCCAAGCACATTCCCAGAGCTCTCGCCAAGCCAAAGGCCAAGACCTCCTGCTGCACCACCAAACTGCCCTTTTCCCTCTCGAGTGTGTGTGTGTGTGTGTGTGTTTGCTCTCATATATTGTTAAGCTGTTTTGGTAAATACACCCCCCTTCTGGAAAACAACATCACGACTGAGGGAGTACCCCGGTGAAATATAAAGAGAGGATTTAAATTGCTCCGAAAAGCAAACTGCACCAGACAAACAGATTTTGTATGTAGGCATGCGTTGGCTTTCTGCCGTTTCATTGTGTACGGCCATATTTCGACACAGCTGAGGGGCGTTTTTTTTTTTTGCTTTTGGCTAGTCAGAGCAAGGGGAATAAGCGAAAAGAGGGAGGACCAGAGGGGGGAACAAAGCCTTGCGGCAGCATATATGGATGTCACATGGAGCTGAGGCAGCGGAACAATGGCTCTAATGTAGGAGAACCCCCCCTCCCACTGGTGTACCCCCTGTTTTCTGGAGATGACACGCTGCCCTCACACACACACACACACAGCATCTGGATGCACATGCATTTGTATCAGGACAGAACACATTGGCAGGAAGTGGAAAAACCCCAGTGTGTGTGTGTGTGTGTGTGTGTGTGTGTGCGTGACTGCCGAGCGTAACGCGAAGACGTGCTCTTTTCTGTTAACTCCGGGCTGCTTGACGGCAGTTTACTTTAGTATGCACGGCCAGACAGCGGTGAATATTTATAGCCGAGGAGAAAAGGCTCGGCGCTGCTCGATCCGATAAGCAAATGAGGGAAAAAGAGGTAAATTAAGCCCACACAGAGTCCGGAATTCATTCCGATAGGGGGGGAAGAGCAGAGGAGGGCACGATCGATTCGGAAAACTGACACCTACGGCTGATCCTTTCACCCTCCACCCTCTTCCTCCATCCTTTTTCTCTACTTACTCCCCTCCCCTACCCCCTCGCCCCTGGGGGAGGAATTCCTTAACCCTCACCGCCGAACCACCCCCCTCCTCCTCCTTTTCCTCTTCTTCACGCTGCCCCACCTAGCTGTCTCTGGGGAGACGTGGGGCAAGAGCTGGGAGAGTCAAAGGGAGGAGGGGGGGAAGGAGGAGAGGAGGCCTACAGTGTGTGTGTGAGGGGTGAGAGGGGTGGAGAGGGTGGAGGGGGGAGGGTTGTTAGGTCAATGAGCTGAGAGTAGGAAGCTGCAGCCGTAATAAAGAAGAAAAAAATAGAAGAAAAAACCCCAATCTTTGCCTCCCTCTCTCTCTCTCTCTCTCTCTCTCTCTCTCTCTCTC